TTAGACTATTGGAAAGAACCTAATTTATGACAAGAGTTGTGACCTAAACATTACTTCATCCTGGACTCCCAATCATATTTCCCTCTAAATCCCTCTGCAAAACGGAAAATTTCAGATTTGAACGACGGCCAATGAGGGAGGCAGTATTTCAGTTTGAAAACAGTTAGCTCAGCCTAACTGAAGCTGGAAGAGTCTTTCTTCTAAGTTACGTCTGGTCCTGAGTTCAGAGTTTGAGATTTGGTACCCTCCTACCTCTTCCTCCCATTCTCTGTGGGTCTCAGCTCGAGTGTTACCTGAAGGTAAGGGTCAAGCCTTGAAATGGTTTACAGACCCATTATGCTGTCTCCTTGTCAAGAGCATTGAAACAGAACTGGCTCCCCTGTGTCTGAAGGATAAACTGCAGGGAAAGGAGGCAGACAACATGGATGACATTCAAGATGTCAATAAACTCTAGAATTTAATGCGGGCCTAAGCCTCTTCTGGGTTATATTCCTAGTCCTACTGTTTGCATTGAAGTTGCCATTTTGTCTTGATACTTTTGTCCTCAGACCTCACATACAGGCCTGCATGTCAGTACCTCTGCTTCCTAAATACATTATTTTCTACAAATACCCATTACAGCCAGCATCACTGTTCTCTCCTCTCCACATCTGCGGAGCTAGCTTTCATTGATAAGTTTTTAAAAATAAATAGGTCCACCTGGGAAGTTTTCAAACACTTGTACTTGAATGTGTTTATGAATGCAACGTCCTCGTGTAGAAAGACCTCAGAAACTACAGCAAAATCAATTTCTATAAACTTCAATTTTAAAAATTAAAAACTGTAATTCACCTTCTAAACCACTTAAATAGCATTTATGACGGTAATCAGTAGTGAAGTCTGAGTGATCTGCTAATCTGCTGCAAAACAATGAAACTTTGTCATTTTAAATTGCAGGTATTGACAACTCTCTAAGGGAAAAATTTAAACACTGGCTTTCAAAACATAATTGAAGATAAATTAAACATATTATCATATATTTGACATCTTATATTCTCATCAGCATTAATAAGACATTTTGTTTAATAGAAACCTTTTTCAGATAAAGAGGCAACATTACCTCCATTTTTCTGGTTGAAAAAATCATATTTCTAGGTGTAATTTGAGCTAGTAAAAGGCCTGGCTAAAATTTTAGATCATCTGACTATAACTACAAGACTGTTTTCATTAACAAAGGATTTTTCAAATTTTGTTTGTAGGCTCCGAATTATTTTAGATGTTCTTTTGAAGACATGATTTGGGAAGATCTGTTGACTTTTTTTGTTGATTCGAGAATCCATCTTGACTCTATTGAAGACTGAGATTTCTGCTTATGCAAATGAGATAGAGGATTCTGTATAGTTTTAAGATACACGAAAAACCACTACACTGAAGCTCCATTTGACAAAGGACTGAAAAATCTGTGCCCTCCTTAGATTCGAATTCAGATCATTTCAGTCCACTGACACTGACTTAGCCCCTCCCCTGCTGACTTCTACAGTCAATTTAACATAAAGTCCCATGATATGAGGATATTCCTCGAGAGACCATTTTCCTTACACAGCAAGGACTGAAATATCTGCCAGCCTTGCCATTTCCTACTTGCTACTCTCCCACCATTTAAACAGCTTTTCCATCTCAATGTAAGATGAGATCCCTAAAGTTACCAAATGAACGTGAACCTTCTCACTCCTGTTGTTATTGTCTGGCTTCTCTATGATCCACAAAGAAAAGCTTTGTGCATAAAGTTGTTAGAGACACTCTTCATTTCACATTTACCCATGAATTTCATTCACGATCACATACTTTTAAACTTCCAAGCCACCAAAGCTGATGATGAATTCAACTGAGCTCTCAAGCCTCTTAGGCAGATATTCGTGAGTTCACAAACCCCCTTTGTCTTTGAAGTATTAGGTTGCTTATTATTTCAGAGGATACCCTATTGTCATGTGGAGACTGAAAGAGTATCTATCACAAACTTCAGTAAAATGGACTGCACCGTAACACCACATACACATACGCACATGTACATGAATGCACACACGCCTGTATACACGCAAATTCTCTTGCAACCTTAAAGGTGAATCAAGCTGGCTACATTGGGTATATGGGACAAAGATGTCAAACTAAAGTGCACTAATTATTTACATTTTCTTTGAAACTTTCCTTTAGCCATCTCATTTACCTGATGCCCCATTATATTCACCCAACAGAAGTATAATTAGCTCTGCTCATTTGATGTCCTCTAATAAATCTGTAGATCTTTTATGATCTGCTAGAAGAAATTGTATACTTCCATTACCTCCAGTAGATCACTAGGTCCTAACATTAAATCCAGCTAACAAGTGTACTGGTTAATTAATTATAACAGTTTGTTTGCACTGCCACAGCCTTGAAACTAACACCCCAGTCCATAGTACAGCAGTGAGGGGCTGCACATGTGTGGGACGTTCTCAGATCTTGTCGCGAACTCGGAGGAACTACATTTATTACACAAGAAACTGCGCGTCTTTGAGTGGGAGATCTTGCTCTGGTCAGGCTGAAGCTGGCCATATGTTAATATCTTTGTGTTCCTTCTATTTGGTGAAAATCTAGTGCCACTGAGCTTCCCAGGGTTTCTGAGAACATAAAAGTGTTGAATACCAGCATGGCGGCCTTTCTTCCTAGTGTCTTATCCTAATACATATAGAAAAGTTTGCCCAGGGTTTTCTGATGTGACGTCTTCGCTGACAGAATCACCAACCACAGGTGTTATATTTGAGAAGGGCCCTTCCTAGGCACATGTTATATTTAATAAGATGAAACTGCTTCAACTCTCTGTACAAAGCTGTTACCCAGTTTCCAAAGAATATGTCAGGAGAAATCAACCATGGGGCCCAACACCAGACAGCCTACGTCAATAGAAAAATTTTTTAAAGTGTGCCAGCATAGCAAAATCCTAAGACTCAGGCTTAAATGGCATTGCCTCCCAAGACTAAGCTTCATTGAGACAAGCATTTTCACTAATATGCTATTTTAGATGATGCCCTAATAGCTTAAAAATAATTGATAATGTAAATAAATAATTCAAAAAGCAAACATTTTGTAGTATATATATTTCAGATCACTTCTACTTATATATTATAATATAGATCATATTATTTGCCCAGAAGTAGCATTAATTCATTAGTTCCTATAGCTGTTTCTTATAATGTGTGCAAACAATTTATAATATACAAAATAGATTCAAGGATTAATAAATCTCTTCTATGTTTTCAAGTAGGGAGCACATAAATTCAGAGACAGTGAAACAGAATAGATAGAATCATGGGCTTTTTAATTTTTCTTTTTTAATCCAGAAGAAAAATTAGAAATCATCTAGGTCTGCTCCTCATTGTACAACTAAAGCAACAGACTTGGCAAGTGACTTGACCAAGACCACACAGCAAGTTATATGCACCCAGGGTGCCAACCCAGGACTTGCATGGCTGTTTTCCAAAAGAAGTCAACTTCGAAAATGAGGGACTTGATTTTATACATTCATTAAGGAAACAGCTTTTAATACCAGTTTTAGCCAAAGTGACATACTAATACGAAACAGGAAAAAAAAAGTTCCTTTTAGGCTGCACTGGAAACAACCAGCAGTCCAGCAGTGGGCTCTCAAGCTGCTAGCTTGCCCACGTGACACATGAAGGACCTGATCCCCCTCCCAGTCGGTGCAGTGACAGTCAGTGTTAATGGGAGTTATACTTGTCTGGAACAAGAAAAAGAGGTCTTTGAAGACAGCATTTGTTACCAATAAAAAACAGGATTCCCCGGCCCAGTGATCCATGCTCCTCTCTCTCTCCAACATAAGACAACTCATTATGTCCATTTGGCTCCTTGGCGGGGGGTGCAAATTTTATGATTTGTTTTCTCCCTTCTCACCCCAACCACACCCTACTTTGATCCACTAAACTACTGCCAATATAAAACTACTTTCCACCTCCTAGCATGATACAAAAGTAACTTACATGAAGGCTTAGAATTCCACCAACATATGCCTCATATTTTGGTCAATCAAAGCTCGTGCTGGCTAAACAAGGATAGGTGAGAGCCTTTTTATACTGGTCACGTCAAGAAATACAGAGCAATACAAAATTCATAGGAAGGCGGACAAATGTGCTGAGATGTCAGTGAAAGTCAAGAAAATATTGCCCCCTAGAGTACCCTTACTTAATATGTAATTTTTCCTTATAAAACCATCAGCAGCTCCAATTTCCAGGAAATTAACCAACTCATTACTTAATACCTGGTCAGTGAAGCCCCCTCCATCTGCACAAGGAGCTCCTTTATAAGAATTCCCACACTGCTTATGGCGCAGTGTATTGTAAAAGGAAAATCTTTCACCTCGGTTCTATGAGTTAAGTCAACATACACCATTAAAACTTACCTTTCTTTATGCCAAACGAAAAAACAATGAGTGCAAGTCGACCTTATAAGCTCTTTTAAGCACCTCCTCTTTTCTATGTTTTTTCCTATTTTAGGTAATTCTTAATCTCATAGTTCTCAATTTCTAAAGTTTCATATAGACAGTTCACTGCCTTTTTCACTTCCATGCCGCTTTTTCCCAACATCAGAACTTTCTGGAGATAAATACTACATCCTATATCACATGACAACAAGTCAGATTCATGTATCTCCAATAGTAAACCAGCACCTGCTCTCAGCACTTCTATTTTAGCCTTGTCTGCTAACAAGAGTTTTCATTGTATCTTAACACATATGGATGTCAGAGTACAAAGAATTAAAGAGCCAGTTATCATGAAGCAATCATAAATGTTCTCTATGCAAAACCATGGTCTCTCACCTGAATGACACACAGAGCTGGCTTTCTTCCAGAGGTATCCCGGACTAAACGAGTTAGACTGCATGATTACCTTAAAGATGACTTTCTTAGTGAGTTTATCTGGATCACCTAGTATTTCCAAAGGATGGAAAATGCAAGGAGTGGCAACACTTACCTGTCGGCGGGCCTTCATCCCATCCTTCTGCCCTCTTAACTCGATTCGCTGTGAATCCTAAGCAGATATTGGCTCCAATAGCAAAAGTGAACAGGGATATTACCTAAAGGGATAAAGAGGTCGAGTTGTCAAACACAGCTACTAGACAAAACTACATCAAATGATCCTTCAGCATGGCCCCCGCACGCCCCCCGCTAAGCCTGCAACTTCCAAAATGCACCATCAAGCCTTGCCTTCATGGTGAAAACAAACAGGCTTCAAAATCAGAAACTGCTTGGAAAGCCCATTCCATCGTCCTCCTACCTGACACGACTGGAATGAGCTGCTCCCTGCCATGGCAGAGGGTTCTAGGAAAGCCTTATGCAGTGTGTTCTGGCTGCCTACCCTGAGTGCACTGCTGTTTGGGGCTCTGCGCTCAGTCTATTAACTACAAGTAATCCCACCTGGGAGGTTGACAGGCTCCTCTGATTTGTCCAAAGCTTGATTTCATCACAGGCCATTCACAAATCACAGCTCAGAGCCTAAGGGGCTTGAAACATCAGCCCCCTTTTCCCCACCCCCTTATCGGTCCCTCCCCTAACACACAGACACTTTCATGTGGTTTCCTCTGGTAACATGAGGGTTTCTTGTGTTGCTCCGGCCAATAACAGCTCATGTTCATTTTCCTTCCCTCACACAAACACGGTTTTTAAAAAAGAAACCAAATGTATTTTATCCGACAAAAATGAAACAGAACCATAAAAGGGTTTCGACCAGCTTTTAAAGCTTTTAAGGTTTACAATGTAGTTATTCAATGTCGCCGGCTTCACGGCTTTATTATTTTTTTTTCAAACAAGGAAAGTTTTATAATTTATAAACCTAATAACGTTCCCTGTCTTTCTCATTTATTTATTTTTCTGGCAGTTTAAGCGGCCCTGTCCCTCTTGCCACATTCTCAACGATTCCTGACTGCTCACGGATTTCTCACGATGAAATCTCCCAAGACTGTAACTAACAAAAGAGATAACATTATTTTGTTTTCTCCATGTTAGAGTTTAGAGAAGTAACTTTTATCAAAACACTGGGAATGCCAGCTAAGCAGCATGAAGTCCTCTGCCCTATAAAGAGGGACAAAATAATTTCAGCTTCTGCCTCCTCTTCCTGAAAAAACTGTCAGCTTGGTTTTTTTTGGGGGGGGTTGATGGGGGGAGTAGATGGGGAAGCTTTATTAATGATTAAATTTAGGAAGGAAATCTCAATGGTAGCAAGAATTTCGCTTTAAAGAGTTGTTTCCCTGGTTATTTGCCAGTTAAGTGATCACCCAGCCACCAAAAAACGGTGTCCTTTGAGGCTCTTGCGAGTGATAAAGTTTCTTTACTAAGCTATTTGGCAACCAGGAGAGACTTCGAAATGAAATCAGGGCCTCTAAATCTGAAAGTGATTTAAATATTGTACGCTTTGAGGATTCAAATGAGGGAAGAATGCTTGTCTTTGGCTTTTCTCCCCAGGCCCGGGGACCAACATTCTTGCACAGAGCATATGTGTGTACATAAACAAATACGCCACTTACCATGCAGCAAATTACTAACGGAGCAGTGGCTGTGCTCAAGCAAAACACGATAGTGCAAAAGGAAGAACTTGTTTACAGTGGGTTGCACAGTAGGCCTGGGTTTCATTATATATCCTAGAGTTTAGTAACAGCTCATTGAGAAAAAGAAAACACATGGCCAAACTTTCAGTTGCCTTTCTCAAATGCTTTTAGCTGTTGCACTCTTGCAGAGATGGCACACGCACGAATTTTTCTATAGATGTCTCTCGCTTTAGTCTGTAGGACATACTGAAACGATTTGGCGTCGGGTATTAGGCAAGGCTTAAGAAAGATGGTAGCCCCAATTTTGAGATGCAGGCTTGCTTTTACAGAGACACACTACCAACCCCAAAGGGAAAACAATCACAACAGCCCTGGGATTGCTTTTGATGCCACAGTGTTGCAAATGTTCTTAAAGCCCTGCCTCCCTTTCTGCCCAACTTCCCCAGCTCTTGCCGGAGTCCAGCAACTTCAGATTCTGTCTGCTATTTGATTGTAGAAACTTAGCTTGAGGACAATAAAGGATCCCCTTGGAAAAAAAAATTAGACCGAGGTACTGAACATCATTTATTAATTCTTTTGACATGAGGAGTAGCTGTGCAGGGGTGGGGGGGAGCCTTGAGTGTAATAGCCAAGTTGATCCATAATTGGCTTCTGTACAGCACTTGTTACCGATTATCTAAGAGCACTGAGCTCAGTCAGTATTTCTGTTAACGGTTTCGCCAAAGAACTTTATCCTCTACCGGGTCATTATGCATGTGGAACTCATTAACAGACACATACACACAAGCGCACATGTGCACGCGCATACACGCCACCTAACCATAGCTAACCAAAATTTTACTACAAGTCATCATTATACATTAATTGTCAGGAGGATTACCAAAGACCCTACCTCGGGCATCCAATTAACTATAAAACACAATGACCTCTCATTGTCGAAACTTTTTGAGAAACCCAAAAAGCCTGACAATGCATACCGTAGATCTAGAAACTCAATTAAAACCAAATTAAGAAGGTCCACCTGCTCTCGTGTTTAAGATTGTGGTATAACGTCATCCATGGTTGGGTCAATGAACAAGAAACAAAGTGTATAAGAAAGACTGAAATTAACTTCCAGCACGCTAATCCAGCTGTATTTCAGAAAACATTGCCCCCTGGCAGAAGAAAACCTACAATTATAAACAAATCTTTGACAGTTTCAGGCACTAGAAATCATTCTTGCAGTGATCAGGCTTTATTGGGCAGAAGAATCACTGTGGGAGCTTGTTTAAAATGTTGATGCTTGTGGCCTGTTCCCCAAGAGTCTGATTCATTAGATCTAGAAGGTGAGGAGAAGGAAGTGGGGGTTTAGGGGGCCAGACAAGAACCAGCACCATACGCTATTCTGATGCCAGTAACGTAAGGACCACATTTAGAGAAATGGAGCATTAGAATAAACTCCTCTGAGTTAATTTGTTTATGCCCTGAATGTTGAATTGCTTGGTCTAATGCGTAATGTGATTTTAATATACTGATAGTATTTACTATTAATTGGACATTAAAGTTTAAATCTCTTCATGACGAGCCATGGCTGCTCCTCTGTGGACATCATCTCCCAACCGTAAGCAGCTGAACAGTCTTTTATTTACTTTGCTGGTGGTACAAAGCAGCAGTGTGTGTATTGCTTAATTGCAATACAGTAGTTGCCTTTATACAAATGCACAGTCTACCTTTTCATGAACTGGTTCTGTGAATCCTTGTTCCCAAGCTCTGATTAAGGTAAGAGGGCTTGAGGTTAACAGTGAGATCTGAAAGATACGTAATTGAGGGTTGTCACTCTTGCGCCCTGCGGTCATTACGAAATTTTCAGGAACTGATTCAAATTTTATCTATATCCAGTGTCTCATTATGCAGAATTAACATGCCTTGGGTGGGCTTTAATGCTCTTCCCAGAATACTCCTAAGAGTATGCTGTTAGACAATTTCCGACCACCTGACTTTCAGCAGTATCATGTAGCAATAACTGCAGCATGCACCCTGTGAAAGTAACAAAACACCCATGGGTATTCTTCCTATTTTATTTTAAAATCTTTTGAGTTCAGCCTTGTTTTTTCAGTTCTGCTTTGGTTGAGGGCTATTAGAAAAAAAATTCAGAATAAAAACTGGACAACAGTCTTTTGCCAATCTAAACTGAGCAGAAAATTATGACAGCTAATAGAGAAACAGGCCAGCTCAATTGCTCCCGCAATCCAGGACTGCAAATGTGTATAAAGTAGACACCACTTAAGATTCTAAACCACAGATGCAAAGCTCTGGGAGTAATTTATGTTCCCAGGGGGGTTCTCCAGTGGAGAAATAGCATACGCCTACTCAAAGGCAAACAGGGTTTGTGCTATTTATTAGTTCTTATACAATTGAGAGCTGAAATCAACACTGTCACATCTGTCAATGACTTCAATTCCTATCGTAAACTTCTATGCATTACATTTGCTCCCAATGGAACCCAAGCATAAGCTCCTACTCCCAGAACCATCTCTGCTCTCTAAGGATAATCATTCACTGAGCAAATATTCATTAGCTCCTACCGTGTACCAAGCACTGCTCTGGGCACTGGTCCTCTATAGGGAGCCGAACCAAACACAGTCCTCTGCCCTCCATATTCTTCAAAGAGACACAAACATAAATGGAAAAGTCACACAAATGGAAACTTAGGAATTGTTTCTTTCTGGAATTTCCCATGTAATGTTTTCAGGTAGAGATTGACTGCATGTAACTGAAACTGTGCAAAGCAACACCACAGAGACAGGGGAATTGCTGTGATTCAGGGATGGTCTTGTCAGAAGGGTAATAGAGAAAGGCTTCGTGGGGTACCCACTGAGCGGTGATGTGAAGGAAAATGGTCATAACCAGATAAGAGAGGAGGAAAAGATTCCAGACAGAGGGAACCGGATGTGCAAAGGTTCCCGCAGAGGGTGGAGGCATAGCGCAGGCAGAAGATGAAAAGGCAGCCAGCATGATGAGTTGCAGGGAGAGCAAAAGTTTGCATGGAGTGAAATGAGCCTGGAGAGGTCAGCAGAGGCCAGCTCACGCGGGGCCTCAATGGTCACCTTAGGTGGTATCGCTTTCATCCTGAAAGCAATGGAAAGGCTTAAGAGGGCTTAAGCAAGGGAAAGTTTAATCACATTTTGAAGCATTAATCTCTGTACTGTATGGATATGAATTAGGGTGAGTCAAGAATGGATACAATAGGGGCGGCTGGCTAGCTCAGCTGGTTAGAGCGCAGTGCTCATAACACCAAGGTTGCCGGTTCGATCCCCACATGGGCCACGGAGCTGCACCCTCCCCAACTAGATTGAAACAACTATTGATACTTAACTTGGAGATGATGGGTCCTGGAAAAATACACTGTTCCCCAATAAAATTTTTAAAAAAAGAATGGGTACAATAGATCAGTTTGGAAACAATGTCAATAATCCAGACAAAAGATAGTGATACCCGGCACTAAAAAGTTTACGGTGGTGGTGGAGAGGGAGAGTTAGGACAAAGACTTGCTA